AGAGGAGGAGGAGAAGGAGGGGAGGGGGAGGAGGAAAGAGGAAGGAAGAAAGAGGAGGAGGAAGGAAGAGGAAGGAAGGAGGGGGAGGGGAAGGAGGAGGAGGGGGGGGAGGAGGAGGAGGAGGAGGAGCAGGAGGAGGAGCAGGAGGAGGGGGAGGAGGAGGAAGAGGTCTTAGTCCAGCCTGTAATCTGGCCCCCACACTCTGTCCTTGGCCCCCCTCCCTTCCCTGGGGAGGCAGCTCTGGTTTGGCCAAAAGTTCTGCAAACCAGGGACAGGGCGAGGCCCCCCCCGCCCCCCACACACCCCCGCCCCCCTCCACCCCCAGCCCCCCCACCCCAACCTTGGATTATGGACAAGGGTCCTCAAAGCCAGGCAGGCTCGCTCTCTCCCCACGGAGCCGCAGGACAGCTAATCCCTCTCCCCCTGCCTCCAAATCCTTTTCCTTCTGCATCTCGCTCTGAGGAGGAGGGAAACGGAAGACAGGACCAGGGGAGGGAGGTGGGGGGGGGGTCACGGGGATGCGTGTGCGCGTGCGTGTGCGTGTCTGTGCGTGTCGTCTGGGTGGGGGGGGGGTCTCTGTCTCCCGGGGAGATGGGGTGGGCAGGGAGGAAGGGATGTGGGGACACGCAGCGGGGGGGGGGGTCTCAGCCAGCACAGCCTGGCCTGGGTCACGATTTCAATCGCCTCTCCTGTCTAGGGGATCGTGATGGAGATGCACACTTTCTGCTTTGTGCCAGTCCTGGGGCTTGAACTCAGGGCCTGGGCGCTGTCCCTGAGCTTCTTTGGCCCAAGGCTGGCGCTCTACCCCTTGAGCCACAGCGCCGCGTCCGGCTTTTTCTGTGTCTGTGGTGCTGAGGAATCGAACCCAGGGCTTCACGCATGCCAGGCGAGCGCTGCACCCCGGAGCCACCTGCCCGACCCCGAGAGACTCAAAACTCTGGACGGTGTCTTCCAACAAGATCAAACCGCGAGAGCAGGAAAGTCAATGCTCCTGTTTAAAGAAAGATCAGGAGGCATCGCACTCTGCTTCCTTGATCTCTCTTCGGATCCCTGTCCTTCTGGAACTTTCCTGTGGGCCCTTCTTCCCCCCACCCCCGCCCCCGGCAAAGCCACACGGAGCGCACACAGCCCGGCCTCCCTCTCCTCTGCCGGCGTCTGCTCGGCTTCATCTGCTGGAGTGTTTTCTTTAATGAGGGCTGGTGATCTCTGCTCCTGAGGAGACCAGGCCAAGCCAACAGTGAGGCCTGTTCTGGAATGTTCTCTGGAGAGGGAATGAGGCGGCAGGGAGGTGTTCCTCCTCCATTCACTGCCGCCTGGCTTCCTGGGAAGGGCGGAGGCTTCCGGTGGGATGGGGAGGGAGGGGGGGCCACCACGGTGCATTTATTGTCTGATTGTTTCTGTTTCCTTCCTAAGAGCTGCAAGCAGTGACTGCAAATACATGAATTAATCAAATAAAATAAAAGCGGGGAGGGCAGGGGGGAGATCTGGAGATGTGAGCAGAGTCCAGGCGCAGGAAACCTGGAAGGAAAACACAAAACAAAACACAAGGCCAAGCCTAGCATCCGGGGATAATCAGAAACAAACTCTGGGGGACAGTGTGGGGGGGGATGTGAGGCTCTGGACAGGCGTGTGCAATGCAATCTGGTGACAGGGAAACCCCTGGGTGGGGGGGCTGGTGGTGGGAGATGGGGGGGGTGTTGTGGGGAGCTGGATTGGGCCGGGTGACACCCCAGTTAGAACGGTTCTCAGCCTCAGGGTGGGGTGGGGTGGGTAGTAGATGCTTCTAAATGGACCAAAGGCCTGAATGGCAGAAGAGAGGGACCCGGATGAGCCCCCCAGAATGCATCGGGAGTGACAGAGGCTCAGGAGACAGTGTCCAGGTCCCGCGGTGACCTTGAAGATGACCTTGGAAGTCTCTCTGCTCCCAGGAGGTGGGAGGAACCCAACACAGCCCAGAACAGAGAAAATCAAACACTGAGACACACGGTCGAAGCCTGGTCGAAGCCTGGAGTCTACCGACGACCTGACTCTCTCCAGCCCAGGCCTCCAACCGCCCCGGAGAGGTGCAAAATGAGGCCCCCCGAGATCAGCCCTCACGTAGTACGTGGGACCCACTGGGGCCAATCATCCGACCTGCTCCTCTGCCATCGGGTAGTTTGCCCCGGAGGGATTTAGGTTAGACTTGAAGAAGAACTTCCCCCCTGAGTGTGGTAAGGCCGCGTGAATCAGCAAAAGACGCCGTGACGGGTCGCTCCTCCTGAAGGAGGGTTATAAGAGAGAGTTGGGGCTCAGGGTTGTCTACGCAAAGAGCTGGAGGGGTGTGTCTGACCCAAGCACACGGGTGAAAGGCAGAGCATCCAAGAGGCTTCGCTCTTGAAAGGCAGACCAGTTAGGCTGATGGTTCACTTTTTTGAAAAGAGCTCACTAAAACAAGCTACATTAAAATATTTTTTTAAAGAAAAGTCTCAGGGACTTTCCTGCCCGGGCTGGATTTGAACCATGATCCTCAGGTCTGTTGCGTAGCTGGGGTGACAGGCGTGAGCCGCGGCACTCAGATCGTCTTTAGCTATGAGGTTATGGGACTTTAGAAGGGCACCTGGCACTAAGCTTCGGAGGCTTGCTTTCCATCTGGACTTTGTCCTTCTGGAAACTTCTCCCAGCTCGACTACCACTCTGGATTCGAGACATTGTGGTGAGGCTAGAATGGGAAATGCAAACACATACATGTAAATACATACAGTACATGCATGTGTGTGTGCATACACGTATGTGCACATACACGTGTGTGTACATACACATGTGTGTGTGAAAAGATGCGTGTGTACGTATGTGTGTGCCTGTGTGTGCAAACATGTGCACAATTAGGTCTGTGCGGACCATCTGCCAATGCCCACGCTGTATGTGTATGTGTGGGTTCATGGCTACACAGGTATCCATGCGTGCACACGGACACACACATGCATACACGCACACGCATGCACACGCTTAGGCCCGTGCGGACAGCTCCCAGGGAATTCCCCAGGGCGGCCGCGTCTGGCTTCTTGGATTAATGGAGAATTAGCTTCCATTTCCTGAGCATCTTAGCGGTGGGAGGAGATGACCCAGAATGCCCTGGGCGGTGAGGGCCCGGGCTGGGGATGGCCCTGTGCACGCCTGTGCGTGTGCTGCTGCGTGTGCGGGTTCACCACGCGCCCCTGGGCACGCCCACGTCCAGTCTGAATGACCCTAGCTGACTGCCCGTCTTCTGTTTCCTGTATTCAAGGCTGACCACCCCAGCTGCCACATAAGCCTCCTCCCCCTCCCCCCCTCCCCACCTCCCCCCCTCCCCACCTCCTCCCCCTCCTCCCCCCTGCCTCCTCCCCCTCCCCCCCACCTCCTCCCCCTCCTCCCCCCCACCTCCTCCCCCTCCTCCCCCTCCCCACCTCCTCCCCTCCTCCTCCCCCTCCCCCCTCCTCCCCCTCCTCCTCCCCGCCCCCGCCTCCTCCTCCTCCTCTTCCCCCTCCTCCTCCCCGCCCCCGCCTCCTCCTCCTCCTCTTCCCCCTCATCCTCTCCTCCTCCTCCTCCTCCTCTTCCCCCTCATCCTCTCCTCCTCCTCCTCCTCCTCTTCCCCCCTCATCTTCTCCTCTTCCTCCTCCTCCTCTTCCCCTTTTCCTCCTCCTTTTCTCCCCCTCCCCCCTCCCCTGCCTCCTCCTCCTCCCCTTCTTCCTCCTCTTCTCCTCTTCCTCCTCCTCCTCTTCACCTTTTCCTCCTCCTCTCCTCCTCCTTTATCCCTCCCCTCCTCGTTCCCTTCCTCCTGCTCCTCCCTTCCTTCTCTCCTTCCTCCTCCTCCCGATTCCTCATCTTCTCTTCTTCCTCCTCCTCTTCCTCTTTTTATCCTCCTCCTTTTCTCCTCCCCACCCTCCTCCTCCTCCCTTCCTCCTCCTCCCTTCTTCCTCCTCCCCTGATTCCTCATCTCCTCTTCCTCCACCTCTTCCTCTTTTTATCCTCCTCCTCCTCTTCCCCCTCCTGTTCCTCTTCCTCCTCCTCCTCCCTTCCTCCTACCCTTCCTCCTGCTTCCTTTCTTCCTCATCTTCTCCCTTTCCTCCTTCTCTTCCTCTTTTTTGCCTCCTCCTCCCCTCCCCCTCTTCTCCTCCTTCTCCTTTCTCCTCCCCCTCCTCCTCCCCTTCCTCCTCCTCCTCTCCCCCTCTACTTTCTCCCCTGCCCCTCCTCCTCCTCCTCCCCCTTCCCCTCCTCCTCCTCCTCCCCCTTCCCCTCCTCCTCCTTCTCCCCTTCCCCTCCTCCTCCTTCTCCCCTTCCCCTCCTCCTCCTTCTCCCCTTCCCCTCCTCCTCCTTCTCCCCTTCCCCTCCTCCTCTGCTGGCTGATACAGCACTCGGCGCCAGTGTAATCTGATTTAAAAGCCAAAGCCGGGCTGCGGGAGGGCAGGTGGAGGCTAGCTAGGGCCGGGGCCGTGGCAGTATGTTGTGAATGAACAAATGCGGGCTTTCAGTAACCAGGACGAGAATCGACGACGCTGGGCGACCCTCTGGGAGCCTGGAGAGTGTCCTCTACCGACTAGGGGCAGACGCCGTATTCACCACGCACGGCTGTGTAAAATTATCATCGTCACCAGGGCCGGGCGCCGGTGCTCACGCCTGCCATCCCAGCTGCTCAGGAGGCTGAGAGCTGAGGATCGCGGTTCAAAGCCAGCCCGGGCAGGAGAGACCGTGAGATTCTTTATCACGAAGGAGCCAGCAAGATGCCAGGAGTAGAGCTGTGGCCTAGCCCTGAGTAAAGAAAAGCTCAGGGACAGCGCCCAGGCCCTGAGGACAGACAGACACAGACACACACACAGACACACTAAAATAAGAACCACAGGCCAGAGCTGCAGAGCCTGAGCCTCCTTCTGACTTTCTATTCCCCCTTCTGACTTTCTATTCCCACACACACCACATAGAGATGCTAACTACGCCCCCTTAGGCCTCCCTGAGCCCTCCAATGGATGAACCTAAGAGAAAGGTCTTCAATCCTGGAAGGGCTCCACAGCCAGACACACCACAGCCTGGAAACGCAGCAATCGGCCCATCACCACCTGCGAGCCCCGATTCCAGCCCCAGAACTGCCGGGATGGGCAGGTGCCAGGGCTGGCCACCAACAGCACAACCCCACAACGGGAGCCCAGGCTCTGCGGACAGCGAGGGCCGGGGCTTTTCTGAGACCTTGCTTAGAGAGAGCAAACGCTGTGATCTGTGAGTCCCTGGGCAAGTTCAGAGGGGCGGAAAGACCCCCCCCACGCCAAGTTCACCAGGATCCTTTCCAGAAGCATGGCTAGTGCCCCCCGCCCACCGCTCCGCCTTTCATTCCCATCATGAGCGATCCTCTGTCTTTTATTAGGATCAAGACACACACACACAATCAGGCAAGGTGGAGGAGATCTGGCCAGCCCCGGCTCCTTGTTGCCGGTGGCCTGGCTACACACAAAGTCATCACTACCAATTCCACAGAGAGATCATCATCACACATAAACCCACCAAGGCCAAGCCCCGCTTCCTTCACCCAGATCCGGAGTCAGCATGGTTGGACAATGTGAGGCTGGTAGAAGGGCAGAGCCCTTTTCTGCTTTGGAGAGGCAGAAAAAGCAGCAGAATACCCAAGAGCGTGTGTGTGTCCCTTGCAAAACCTAACCGTGGAGGTCCTGGAGGCTGGGAAAGGGAGGATCGTGGCTGGAGGCCAGCCGGGACAGGAAAGTGCACAAGATCCCATTTCGACACGTGGCTGGGCACGCTGGCACAGGCATGCCGGCCCAAGCCACGCAGGAAGCTGAGACTGGGAAAACAGAGGTCCAGGCCAGCCCAGATAAAAACCACCCATGAGATTCCATCTCACTTGTAAGGGTCTGTGAACCTGGTGAGGATGGGAGGCCTCAAAGTGGGTGGACGGCTCAGGTGTGTGCCAGGGTGGGAAGAGAGGCTTTAACCTGATAATAATCAGTAAAAACCAGCGCAGGAGGCATCACTCAGCAGGATCACACCAACCTTGCAAGTGAGATGCCCAGAGTTCAAATCAAAACAAACCACAAAAGAAAGCCAACGCTTAAGTGCAATACTCAAACTAGCAACAAAGAATCTATTCCTGTATGGAACAGAAAGCAAGAAGCTAAGCTAAGTCATTCTCCCTTCCTCCCAGGGTGAAGAGGAGGCCAAGAGGAACAGCTCCCAAAAGTTTAGGTTAAAAGAAATTACATGTCAGAACAAACGTAAGCTGAAGATTTAAGGTTAATTAACATAATTGATCAGTGAATCTGGGAAAACACCAGGTTGTTTTTGTCTTGTTTTGTTTTGGTCAGTCATGAGTTTTGAACTCAGGGCCTGGGCACTGTCCCTGAGCTCTTTTGCTCAAGGCTAGTGCTCTGCTACTTTGAGCCACAGCGCCACTTCTGATTTTCTGGTATTTCATTGGAGATGAGTCTCATGGATTTTTCTGTCTGGGCTGGCTTTGAACTGCTGTCCTCAGATCTCAGCCTCATGAGTGACTGGGATTACAGGTGTGGGCCACCAGTGCCCAGCTGTTTTCTAATTTTGATAAAGACTACCTTGATCCAAGTTGTGGAAATCCAATCAGCAAAGTCCATGAAAAGGGAGACAGCCAATCAGCAAGGCCCATGGAAAAGGAGACAGCCAATCAGCAAGGCCCATGGAAATGGAGACAGCCAATCAGCAAGGTCAGGAGACAGCCAATCAGCAAGGCCCATGAAAATGAGCCAGCCAATCAAAAGTGGCCCAAACCATAAACTTGCACTGGGTACTGTGATCCTGGTGTAGCTACCTGCCATTTTCCCTTGAATGGCATCCTGATAAGTCTTTGATTTTTCCTATTCTTCCATCCCGATGCTTTCCTTCACCAACTTCTATGGCTCCCAAATCCTCAAGAGATGTGGCAAATCAAAGGTCAGGGACCAGCCGGCCGCTGGTGGCTCACGCCAGCCCGGGCAGGAAAGTCCATGAGACTCTGATCTCCAGTGAACCACTCAGAAAAATGGAAGTGGCGCTGTGGCTCAAGGGGTAGAGCGCCAGCCTTGAGCTGAAGAGCTGAGGGACAGCGCCCAGGCCCAGAGTTCAAGCCCCACGACTGACCAAAAAAAAAAAAAGCTCAGGGACCTCCTTCTCGCCCTTTTTGGGAATCAAAACAGTGGTGAGGTAGGAGCGGGGGGGGGGGGGTATCTCCTTTTAAAAGGAGCCATGGGGCCACATTGGGAGAGCAGGGAGCCACAGCCTGGGGACCCCGTGACCCTGGTCACAGTCATTCCTGAGAGGACTCTGGAGCCCAGAAACTCATCCCTCTCCTCATCCAGCCCCCTCCTCTCGCTGTGGACCACCCCAAGATAATTCAGACCACCAGGCAAACAACTGTCACCCTAGTGAACCTAACATCAAGGCTTCCTAAAGGGCCCTATGTGTCCCACAGCGAGGGGCAGGCGCACCGACAAGAGACTCTGGCTTCACAGGAGTTCCTGAGGAGCCAGAGTGAAAAGGGCAAGCCCCTGTGTCTCCTCTGGGAGACACGTGAGGGAGGCGTGGTCTGCGGGCTGGCCTGGTGTTGTGGAGCAGCCCGAGTGGGCAGAGGAGGTCACGGGAGGCCAGAGGCCCCAGTGTGGTGACTGGAGGCTCCGGCTGCCACCCACTCCCCCCGAGAAGGAAGAATAAGGAATCCTCTACCTCACCCCTAATCTCGCTCTGGAATGATGACTCCTGGCCGCCGCTGGGAGCCGCTGTGGATGCTGGGAGTGGAGGGGAATGGGTGAATCTCCCTCAGGGACCCACCAAGATCCCAGGAGATCTGAACTGCAGATGGGGTTCAAACTCCAGCAGAATTACTCCTCTTGGCTACACACCATCCCCTTAAAAAGATCACGCATACGGGGGCACACACACACACACACACACGCACACACACACACACACACACACACACTATGTTACACCCAACACAGTTCATCCCCTTCCTAAAACTGTAGATTAAATCAAGAACTTCCAAGATGGGCGCTAATGGCTCCCGCCTGTCACCCCAGCTACTCAGGAGGCTGAGATCTGAGGATCTCGGTTCAAGGCCAGCCCGGACAGGGAAGTCCATGAGACTCTGATCGCCCATGAACCACCAGAAAACCAGAAGTGGATCTGTGGCTCACGTGGTAGAGCGTTCACCTTGAGCACAAAGAAGCTCAGGGACAGCGCCCAGGCCTTGAGTTCAAGCCTGGACTGGGACACACACACACACACAGAGTTACAAAAGGAAAGACAGAACAGAGAAACTCACAGCGCTTCTGAACCCTGCCCAAAGCACACCAACAAAATCACAGGGCGGAAGATGACTTCTAAGCCATCTGCTCAGAGTTCCCTGAATCCACAGCACTTTCTCGATCTGTGAGGCTAACTCAATCTGTTATTATTATTGTTGTTGCTGCTGCTGTTGTTGTTATTATTATTATTAATTATGGGTCTTTGGTAGAAACCCATTTCCAGCCCATTTGTCTTGAAGTTCAGGTGAAATCAGATCCCCAGGGGGAGGAGGGAAAGTGTACAACGTGCCGCACCTGCTCTCCAGCCCGCCCACCTGCCCTCCCCCCCCACCATCACGTGACCAGGCCCTGCCCGGCCCCCCCTGCCCGGCACCCGTTCCTGGCTGCTTCTCCAACGCCCAACCTGAGCACCTGCTGAGCTCCCGAGCTGCTCAGGATCTTGGTCTCCCACCCCTGATGGTGAATGAGCCAGGGGCCGGTGCTCACGCCTGTCATCCCAGCTCTTCAGGAGGCTGAGATCTGAGGATCGCAGTTCGAAGCCAGCCCGGGCAGGAAAATCCATGAGACTCTGATCTCCCATGAACCACCAGAAAACCAGAAATGGCGCTGTGGCTCAAGGGGTAGAGCGCCAAGCCCTGGAAGATATGACAGTCCATTCGCCACCTTGTTTGGATGGCACACAGTGCAGATCTCTCAGTGTCTTTCCCTGGGGGCGGAGGGCCAGGTAAACTGAGGCAGCTGGACACGCTTGCACGCCCGTCGGAAATACTGAGCAAGGCCGGTGGGCGTGCAGCACGCCAACGATCTGGAAACGACAGGGACAAAGGAGCAGCAGAATGATCTGCAGAGAGCTCTAGGCCGGCCCAGGCTGCGTGCACGTCTTGGCAGCATAATAGCTCGTTCTGCATGGAACTCACAAATGCATACCTGCCAGAAAACAAACCTAAAACCCACCAGCTGCCCTCAGGAGGCTGAGGAAGGGGGGAGGATCGGAGGATCGGCCGCCACAGGCACCCCAGCCTGGCACTGGAGAATAAAGGACAGTCTTGTTTTTATTGAAAATCAAAAAAAAGGGGGAGGGGACGTAAGGAAAGGTGAATTGAGCGCAGATTCAGGTGTGGCGATCCGCCAGGCAGGTGCTGCGTTAATCACGCCTTGATTATGGAAAGGGCCGGGCCCGGGGTGGGCACTCCGGAACGCTCTGTACCAGCTCCCATTTGGCTGCAAACAGCCATGACTGTTCTCAACAATGAGATCTTTTTGTTTTTCGTTTTTTGTTTTTTTTTTAAAGGAAACGGCAAATTGCGTGCAGCAAAGTGGCGCTCTCCGTGTTCTTAGGAGGCGGTTAGAAAGGAGGCCTGGGGAGGGAGTAGGCAGCAGAGAAGGGAAAGGGGGGGAGGCCGAGAGGAACGAAGAGAAGGTTCTCCAGCGGACCAGCCACAAGGTGCCAGGGGTGGAGAATGGCCACGAACTGGGCTCTGTACGTGAGTCATCGTCATTACACAGCCGGGCGCCGGTGCTCACGGCCTATAATCCTAGCTACTCAGGAGGCTGAGAGGAACGCAGAGAGAGAGGGAAACTCGGGAATGGCAGAGCGGGCACAGGGGTGGAATGGTGGGGAGAGGGGGCACCGGTGACGCGCCTGTCCCCTCCGAGTTGAGGACAGCTAAGGATGGGAAGATTCAGGTCCTATCTCATCTAACACCAGCCAGTCCCAAGGGCGAGCTCTGAGCCCTCCTGTTTCCAAATCAAAGCCGGGGACATCTAATGGCCACTGCTATATTAAAACAAACAAACAAACATGGTACCTGGTGGCAAAAAAAAAAAAAAGATGGCAGAGACGTGAATGGGAATAAAGAGGGGTGAGACCATGAATATTACTGGAGCAAACTCAGGGTTCAGCGTTGAACCACAGCCCCGCACCTGTGGCTCCCGCCTGTCATCCTAGCTTTTACTCAGGAGGCTGAGATCTGAGGAGTCCAGGTTCAAAGCCAGCCCGGGCAGGAAAGCCCATGAGACTCCTATCTCCAGCAAAAAAAAAAAAAGCCAGAAGTGGAGCTGTGGGTCAAGTGGTAAAGCACTAACCTTGAGCAGAAAGGAGCTCAGGGACAGCGCCCAGGATCTGAGTTCAAGTCCCAGGACACACACACACACACACCAGGAATAGGCCCTGTTGATCTGAACCTCATATGTAACCAGACATTCTGCATCTCTATTAGCTAAACAAAAGCAGTAGCAGCAGCAATTATTCCCAGCTTCTGTTCCAGATACTTTGTATATACTTACTCTCATTTCTCCTTTGTACCAACCAAGCAAAGAATGTTCTAGCTTCCCTTGACAGATAAGGAAACTTTGATCCAAGAGAACAGAGTAACCGAGATCAAGGCTCCCGGAAGCCTGGCTTGGGATGTGAGTATATCTAATCAGCCTGCAGGTGCCCACCCTTTTTACCCAGTGTATACTATTCCCACCTGAGCCCCGAGACCAGTCCCAGCCTGCTGGTCCCTGAGACCTAGGGGCCCGGATGCAGATCTCATTACCATGGTGGTGATGGCTAACACCCACTGCCCAGACCTCAGAACACACCAGAACCTTGCAGCTCACTGCTCAGCAGACTCCCGACAGAAGCACTAAGTGATATTTGGGTTTCAAACATCAAAACTCCAGCAAGTCCCCAGTGGCTCCCGCCTGTCATCCCAGCTACTCAGGAGGCCGAGATCTGAGGATGGCGGTTCAAAGCCAGCCCGGGCAGGGAAGTCCCTGAGACCCTGATCTCCCAGGAAACACCAGAAAACCAGAAGTGGCGCTGTGGCTCAAGTGGTAGAGCACCTGCCTTGAGCTGAAGAGCTGAGGGATGGTGCCCAGGTCCATAGTTCAAGGCCCAGGACTGACCAAAAAGAAAAAGAAAAAGACAACATGTATTTAAATCTTACAAAACAGATTTCAAGTCAGAATGGCACCTGATCTTCTTTAGCCTGGCACTTTTTTTTTAAGCCAGTCCTGGGGCTTGAACTCAGGGCCTGGGCACTGTCCCTGAGCTTCTTTTGCTCAAGGTTGGCGCTCTACCACTTGAGCCACAGCGCCACTTCTGGCTTTTTCTGTGACTGATTGGAAGTAAGAGTCTCACAGACTCTTACTTCCCCAGGCTGGCCTCGAACCATGAACCTCAGATTTCAGCCTGAATGGCTGGGATGATAGCGTCTGAGAGGCCACTCATTTATTCGAGGACCTACAATGAGACAGTCTATCCTAAGCACAGGTCCCAGCAGTGAACTACACAGAGCCCTCCTTTCACAGAGCTAGTGAACTGTCGATTTAAAACAACAACAACTCACAAATCCATGCCTACAATCCCAGCTACTCTGCAGGCAGAGAGACCAGGAGGATCTCAGGTTGAGGCTAGACAAGGCAAAAAACAACCAACAACCAAAAAGTTCACGAGACCCCATCTCAACAAAAGAGCCGGGTGCTGTGGCCTCTGCAAGGGAAGAGTGAAGAGGAGAATCGTGAGCCAGGCGAGCCCCAGGCAAAACAAGGCAAGATCTTATTTAAATAATAACTAAAGCAAAAAGCACTAGAAGACTGGCTGTGTGCCTGCCCAGCAAACACAGGGCCCTGAGTTCAAATTCCATGACAGCAAAAGAAAACACCCATAAACCCATCAAATTACTTCATGTAGGAGTGCCACACCACCGAGATGAGGCCGGTGGCCAGAAATACAGAGTGAGAAGTGTTCAGAGGAAGTGACAAAGATAAGTCAAGAAGCAGGGGAAGATGTGGGTGGATGGATGGGTGGATGGGTGGATGGATGGATAGGTAGATGGGTGGATGGATGGGTGGATGGGTGGATGGGTGGATGGATGGATAGGTAGATGGGTGGATGGATGGGTGGATGGGTGGATGGATGGATAGGTAGATGGGTGGATGGATGGGTGGATGGGCGGATGGATGGATAGGTAGATGGGTGGATGGATGGGTGGATGGGTGGATGGATGGATAGGTAGATGGGTGGATGGATGGGTGGATGGGTGGATGGATGGATAGGTAGATGGGTGGATGGATGGTGGATGGGTGGATGGGCGGATGGATGGATAGGTAGATGGGTGGATGGGTGGGTGGATGGGTGGATGGATGGATAGGTAGATGGGTGGATGGATGGGTGGATGGGCAGATGGATGGATAGGTAGATGGGTGGATGGATGGGTGGATGGGCAGATGGATGGATAGGTAGATGGGTGGATGGATGGGTGGATGGGTGGATGGGTGGATAGGTAGATTGGGTGGGTGGGTGATAAATGGATGGGTGAATGGACAAGTAGGCAGGTCAATGAGTGGATGATGGATGCTGGATGGGTGGATGATGGATAGATGGTGGGTGGGTGGATGAGTGGGTGGATTGGTGGGTAAGTGGGTAAATGGATGAGAGATAGATGGATGAGGGATGGATGGATGGGTGAAAGGAAGGAAGATGGATGGGTAGGTGGGTGAATGGATGATGGGTGGTAGATGGATAGATGGATAGATGGATGGATGGGTGGGTGGATGGTGGATGGATGAATAATGGATGGATGAGCGATGGATGGATGGGAGAGCGGATGAATGGGTGTAGGATGGATGAGGGATGATGGATGGATGATGGATGGATAGAAGGGTGGATGGATGGATGGATGGTGAATGGATGGTGGATTGACGATGAATGGATAGATGGGTGGAAGGAAGGATGATGGATGGGGGCATGGATGAATGGATGGATGGAGGGAGGGAAGGAAGGGAGGAAAGATAGATAGATGATGGATAGATAGGTGGGTGGATGGATGAATAATGGATAGATGGAGGAATGGATGGATGAAGGATGATTGATGAGGGATGGATGAATGATGGATGGATGGTGGATGGATGGATGGTGGATGGATGATGGATGGATGGTGGATGGATGGATGGTGGATGAATGGATGATGGGTGGGTGGATGATGGATGGGCGAATATGTTAGTGAGTGGATTCCCTACTGCTGCTGATCACAGACCAGGCAACCTCTTGCTGACAAGTTGATACAGTCTGTCTGAATAGACGCTCCATTTGGTTCCCCAGAATGTCCCAAATCGCCCCCTTCAGAGGGTCTCGAACCTGTGCATTCAGTGATGGAGAGCCTTACATTCCCACAGAGAAACTTAGATCCAGAGTCCAACAAACAAACCAGCTCTTCACCCAGGAACCCCCCGGCTCCCATGGGAGAAGGCCACCAGATGCCTCCTTCAGGCGGAGGTTCGGAAGCAAGGCCTGCAGCCGCCAGCCTCCACTCTGCGGCCTCCAGTCTCCGGCCTCCAGCCAGCCTCACCTCCACGTCCTTCTCCAGCTCCAGTCCCGCCGCCACCAGGTTGTGCTCAAACTCCTCCCGCTGCTCCCTCCTCTCCTCCTCCAGGGCGTCGAGGGGCCCCAACTCGATGTCGCCCCCGGGGCCGCCGGCCTGGCGCTCCTTGCCCGTCTCCCCGTTGGAGATGACGGCCAGCGCGCGGCCGGGTGAGCCGGGGCCCGCGTGGGCCCCGCGCCTGCGGTAGTGGTAGGCCAGTACGTAGTCCACCTTCCTCTGGTTGTCGTGGAAGTGCATGCGGCTCAGGCGGGCCTCGGACGACACAGGATCACTGGCATCCAGGTAGTTATTGATCACCTGGCCGGACAGAGGGGACGCGCCCATGAGGAGGAGGGCTTCCCTCGGGTCAGATGGCCAGCCGAAACCCACCTGCCACACCTAAAGCCACCTAAACTCACCTGCCACACCTAAATTCACCTAAACTCACCTGTCATCCCTAAATCCACCTAAATTCACCTAAATCCACCTAAACTCACCTAAACTCACCTGTCACACCTAAATCCATCTAAACTCACCTAAATTCACCTAAATTCACCTAAACCCACCTGCCACACCTAAATTCCCCTAAACTCACCTTTCACACCTAACTCCACCTAAACTCACCTAAATTCACCTAAATCCACCTAAATTCATCTGTCACACCTAAATTCATCTAAACCCACCTGTCACACCTAAATCCACCTAAACACACCTAAACTCACCTAAATTCATCTAAATTCACCTAAACTCACCTAAACTCACCTAAATCCACCTAAACTCACCTAAATCCACCTAAATTCATCTAAATCCACCTAAACTCACCTGTCACACCTAAAGCCACCTAAACTCACCTAAATTCACCTAAATTCATCTAAACCCACCTGTCACACCTAAATCCATCTAAACACACCTAAACTCACCTAAACTCACCTAAATCCACCTAAACTCACCTAAACTCACCTAAATCCACCTAAATTCATCTAAATCCACCTAAACTCACCTGTCACACCTAAAGCCACCTAAACTCACCTAAATTCACCTAAATTCATCTAAATTCACCTGTCACACCTAAATTCACCTGTCACACCCACCCCACACAGCCCACATGTCCATCTGACCCTGACACTCACACACACACACACACACACACACACACACACACACACACACACACACACTTTCTCTCTCCCACACACACAGCATCTACAGCAGCACCCACTGCCTGTCCCCCCAAGAACCACACACACACTCCTCACATGGACACACACACACACACACACACACACACCGACACCACCACCATCCCCGGAATAAACAGTGTCTCCCCAACTCACATCCGCCTGAGCTGGTGCTGCCTACACAGAGGAAGGCATGCAGACACACACAATTGCAGGGACCTGAGGTACATGCACGCACATGCACACACACACACACACACACGCGCGCTCACCTCCATCCTGATGGCCACATCAGCCCACAACTCTACGTATTTGCACACACACACACATGCTCACCTTCATCCAGATGGTCACATCAGCCAACTCTACTTATCTGCACACACACACACAGAGAATACTCACTGGCAGGTTTTCTGGGTCCATTGGAACAATGGCCAATGTCCAGGCTCCAACCCACCCTGGAGCTCCAACTCCCCACCTCTCAACCCCACATCCTCCACCCTCTCAGGCCCTGGGCCAGGATCGGCCCCTGACGGCACTGGGGAAACAGCCTCCTGCTCCTTCCACACCAGAGTGGGAGCTGGAAAAGCAGCGGAGGAGGGAGGGAGGGAGGGAGGGAGGGAGGGAGGCTGGGAGCGAGGTGGCGCAGGGCAGGGACCTGCCTCCCTCCCTCTGGGTGTCCCCTGTTGATTACTGGTTTGAGACCCAACTGCCTCTGCCGCCACCTGAGAAGTCACCTGGGCAACCAGATGGAGCGCCGGGCACAGGGGAGCGTGCTGGGAGCCGCGGCGGCAGAGCCGACCGGCTTCCCGGGCTTAGAGAGTGAGGGTGGCCTGGCCTCGCCCACCCGTCTCCTTTCTGGGCCTCCTCAGACCGGGAGGAACCGTGTGTGATCCAGAAGAGAGACGAGGAAAGAGGGGATCTTCACGCACAAATAGACAACACCCAGAGCTGCTCATTCGGGGATACACTGGGGGGGGCATTCGGGGGGGCCCCCATTTGTACACCTATCCCTGTACTTACAGAACTGCCACAGCAGCTGCCTCCCGTGGACGGCCGGCCTGGGTCTTGGCTGGGGCTGCCCTGGGGCCCTGAGGCCTGGGACCCTGGCACCTTCAGGTAGTGCTGTCCTTGTCTGGACCCCTGGCCTCCTCTGGCCACGGTCCGAGGGCTGAGCCGACGTGGAGATCCAGGGAGCAGAGGGATATCTGAGAAAGAAGGAGAGAGAGAGAGAGAGAACAACTTCAGTCGGTGGGAAACTTGAGATACAGAGAAACTGAGGCAAGGGAAAGAGAAGACCGCCCGAGAAAATAGCCTGTTCTATTGCAGCCTGAGCGCCAAGTTCATATCGGCTACGGCACAGTAAAATGAAGTTGGACCTCCCCAACACACACACACACACACACACACCCCTATGGAGACAGTATTTCCCCCAAAATGAGTCAGGCAACTAGAATAAAGGTATTGGATTTTGGCGCCGGGCACAGTGGCTCACACCTGTCATCCCAGCGACTCAGAAGGCTGAGATCTGAAGGTCGAGGTTCCAAGTCAGCCTGGGCAGGAAAGTTCTGATCTCCAAGGAACCACCCAAAAGCTGGAAGTGGAGCTGTGGCTCAAGGGGTAGTCCCTGAGTGAAAAAGCTCAGGGGATAGTGACCAGGTCGTGGTTTCAAGTCTCAGGAGTGGCACAAAATAGAAAGAAAAGAGAGAAGGAAGGAAGGAAGGAAGGAAGGAAGGAAGGAAGGAAGGAAGGAAGGAAGGAAGGAAGGAAGGAAGGAAGGAAAGGAGGGAGGAAGGGAGGGAGGGGAAGGAAGGAAGGGAGGAAGGAAGGAAGGAAAGAAAGGAGGGAGGAAGGGAGGGAGGGAAGGAAGGAAGGGAGGAAGGAAGGAAGGAAGGAAGGCAGGAAGGAAGGTAGGAAAGAAGGAAGGAAGGAAAGAAGGGAGGGAGGAAGGGAGGGAGGGAGGGAGGGAGGAAGGGAGGGAGGGAGGGAGGGAGGGAGGGAAGGGAGGGAGGAAGGAAGGAAGGGAAGGAGGGAAGAAGAGGGAGGGAGGGAAGGAGAAAGGGAGGAAGGGAGGGAGGGAGGAAGAAAGGAAGGGAGGGAGGGAGGGAGCAGAGGTGGTAGTAAGGGAAGAAGAGGGAGGGAGGGTGGGAGGGAGGGAGGAAGGAAGGAAGCAAGCAAGCAAGGAAGAAAGGAAGGAAGGAAGGAATGGAGGGAGGGAGGAATGGAGGGAGGGAGGGAAGGAGGGAGGAAGGGAAGGTTGTTCTGTGTTCTAGAAAGAGACACCGCTGCAGGCTTGGGGGAGGGCATGCTGCATGGAAGCAGAGTTAGAACCAAAGACCAGGAGCACATGGGGAGCGAGGAAAGAGCTTGTGCAGGGTCTCACGGCCCGAGACCGACAGGAGGGTCCCCCCAAGTCACCACCCCAAATGTCCCCTTCAGCCTGAACTCTCCTGTACGCACCAGGACTGGCTGGCATGAGCTGCGTCCTGACCTCACCCCGGGGGTGTCTCGGGGCCTCCCCAAGCCAGAGTGGGGATCTCACCCCCACCAACTCCCCGATTCCCTCGACAGTGCTCCTCTCCACCCTGCGCCAGAAACCCAGCGGGGCCTTCCTCCTTGCTTCCCACCCGAATACCCCCAGCACCAACCCGGACAGCCATGTGGGTAAAGGACTGCGGAAGGTCTAACATGGAGGATCGCAGCCCAGGGCTGGCTAGGGCAGGAAAATAAGACCCAGTTGAAAACAACGAAAAACTAAGCCAGGCACCAGTGGCTCCCGCCTGTCACCCCAGCTACTCAGGAGGCTGAGATCTGAGGATGGTGGTTCAAAGCCAGCCCGGGCAGGAAAGTCCCTGAGACTCTGATCTCCAAGGGACTGCCAGAAAACCGGAAGTGGCGCTGTGGCTCAAGTGGTAGAGCGCCAGGCCTGAGCTGAAGAGCTGAGGGACAGCGCCCAGGCCCTGAGTTCAAACCCCAGAACTGGCCAAAAAAAAATTAAAAACTAAAGTAAAAGTGGTTGGGCTGGGGGAATGACTCAATTGGAAGAGCACTGGCCTAGTAAGAGCAAAGCCTTGAGTTCAAACCCCGTACTGTAAAATAAATGATGATGATGATAACAAAAATAATAATAATAAATGGACAACTAATTCAGGCCAAAGAGAGAATTCCAAGTCTTGAAGACAGGATTGATGAAGGAGAATAAAATAATAAAGGAAAATAAATTCTCAACAGAACATTCCAGACTTCTGGGGCACAATTAAAAGACCCCCCCCCCTTTTTTTTTTTTCCTTTGGCTGTTTCTGACACAGAGAATGACGCTAAGGTACAGCCTGAAGGTATATAAGAGCCATTCGGTGACATGACTGCAAAAAGGAAAAGAAAAAGGAAAGAAATCTTGTGAAAAATACGACGTACAAGTGCAAGAGGAATTGAGAAACCCACACAGAATGAGATCGACCCCCCCCCATGCGTATTATAGTGAAAATACCAAGTGTTCAAAGCGAGCGAGGCATGGAGAAAACTCTTGAGAGAGAAGCAGGGACTTATAAAAGGGCACACACTGCAGGGCGCCGGTGGCTCCCGCCTGTCACCCCAGCTACTCAGGAGGCTGAGATCGGAGGATCAGGATTCAAAGCTCACCTGGGCAGGAAAAGCCCATAAGACTTTCTGATCTCCAAATGAACCACCAGAAAACCAAAGTGGCGCTGTGGCTCAAGTGGTAGAGCGCCTACCTTGAGCTGAAGAGCTGAGGGACAGCGCCCAGGCCCTGAGTTCAAGCCCCACGACCCACAGATCTTCCCAGTCGCCATTTTGAAAACCCGACCTGAGTGGTTCCAGTTCCCAGGTGTTTGAACACCAGAGCCTGTTTCCACGTGGTCCCCATCTCCTCTGGGCCTAGTGGCTCCGCCCCCTGTCCCCTCTTCCAAGCACACCTGGCCATTCCCTGGCTCCGCCCCTTTCTAGATCCCACCCCCTCACAGCAGGCTCCTAGCCCACCTGCACAGCAGGGAAGGGTGGGGAGAGGAAGGAGTGTCTGATCTGTCACATCTCTGTTCTTCCATCCACTGTAGGGAGATCCATTCGCCTAACACAGCAGGGGCAGGGGGCTGAACAAGATTCAGAGCCCTGGGCTCTGAGGAAGGAGCGAGGAGGCTGGGCCCTCAGAGAACACCACTGTTTGGGAGTTTCATCTAGGAAAGAGAAACCGACGCCTGGCAATGGATGAATGGAGAGAGAAGATTCTAGGGAGAAAGAGGCTGCAGGCCTGGGCTATTGCTGATCACTGTGATCGCCAAAGTGCCATCCACCCCTCCAGCTCGGGTTCTCTTGTTGAGCTGAGTTCCAGTGGGTGGCCAGCAATGCAGAAAGCCTGCCTGCCTCCCTTCCCTTCCCTTTCCTTCCCTTCCTTCCTTCCCTCCTTCCTTCCTTCCTTCCCTCCTTCCTTCCTTCCTTCCCTCCTTCCTTCCCTCCTTCCTTCCTTTCCTCCTTCCTTCCTTCCTTCACTCCTTCCTTCCTTCCTTCCCTCCTTCCTTCCTTCCTTTCCTCCTTCCATCCTTCCCTCCTTCCTTCCCTCCCTCCCTCCCTCTCTTCTTTCTTTTCTCTCTCTCTCTCTTTCTTTTGGTGCCAGTACTGGGGCTTGAAATCAGGGCCTCCACACTCCAGTGTGGTTTCTCGGTTCAAGGCTGGTGCTCTTATCAATTAACCAAATTCCAGGTATGAATCTCATGGCCTTTCCTGACTGGGCTGACTTGAGCTTCCACCCTCAGATCTCAGCCTCCCAAGACACCAGGCGCAAAGCACCGGCAACTAGCCATCGCTGCCCCTCAGCTCTCCCTTTTAATCAATTTAGAGGGGCAAAAGAAATCAGTGCAAAAAGAAAATTCAACTTTATAAAGCCCTTCTGAATTCATTCATTCCCTCCCCTCCATATCTACCCCCCCCACACATGCCTCGACCTGGGGCTTCAACTCTGTGCCTGAGCATTTTTTGATCCAGGCTAGCTGTCTAGCACTTGAGCTACAGCTCCACTTAAGAGTTTTTTGCTGGTTAATTGTACGTAAAGAGTCCCACAGACTTTCCTGCCTGGGCTGGCTTCGAACCATGATCCTCAGATCTCAGCCTCCTGAGCAGCTGGGATGACAGGCGGGAGCCATTGGTGCCTGACCACACTCCTCTCTTTTAACCAGAAAAGAAAAAAAATACATAAATAAAACAGAGTAAAAGGAGAAAAGAAGAAGACAGCTTGCTAAAACCCTTGGTGGTTGTACACTCTGAAAACCCACATCTCTTTAGAAGGATCGTTTACCCCAATGTTCAGAATCAACGGGCTAGTGCAAGGTCCTGAAAGTTAAAGCCAAGGATGAGTGAGACAGGAATAAGCAATGCATTCCAGGAAGTGTTTCATTCAAGGACCAAAAAAAAAAAAACAACTTCCATGCCAAGCCGACTCCAGTGGAGTCGGCTTAGCATGGGAAACCATCTATCAGACCAAGATAGGGGCTTCAGAGACCTATCTCTGAGTTTTGGGACTTCACCGAAGTCTACCTCAGAGAATGGGGCTTTACAGAAACCTATCTCTGAAAGACCCCAGCCCGTGCTTGCCCACTAGGTACCCCAAGAAAATTGCTGCCCCTTACCCTGCATACCTAAGGGGGTGGTGGGGCAGGATAAGCGCAGGCCGCTAACCAGGAAACGAAACCTCGAGCCTCTGAGTCACCGCCTGCAGACCCTAGCCTGACCCTAGTACATGCCTTAAAGCCAGACATTCCTGGAAAATAGCCGACCCACCTGTCCCTTCCTGTAAAACTTAACCCTAATGGCAGGGTAGGGCAGGATGTAATAAATCACTTGTCAAAATTAGGGAACAAGAAGTTTCGGGGCATTCTGACCAGAACCGGCATGTCAGGGCAAGTACCGGCATGTCAGGGCAAGTACCGACACGTCAGCTCCCCCCCCCCAACCCCACCTACCCCATCTGGCCAGCTTAACCTGCCCAATCCCTATCCTGAGCGTAATTTGAAAATAACCAATCATCCCCCTGTAACCACGCATCTCGCTTCTGTAACCTCGCTTCTGCTGTCCATAAAAAGAGGGTGCTTTCAAGCACTCGGCGCGCAAGTCTCCCGATAGACTTTGTCGCCCCGGGTACCCGTGTAACCGGTTCTCAGACACTTGACTCGAACCTTGTGGATCTCGTGGTTAAGTGCACCTGGGAGCCGAGGCATGCCCGAATAAACCTCTTGCTGATTGCATCCGCACAAGTGGTCTCGTTGTTCCTTGGGGAAGGGTCTCTTCAGACTGAAGGACACCCCAAGCCTTCGGGGGTCTTTCATGTGGGGGCTCGTCCGGGATAGAGACCCCCACCCAGGGACCACCGACCCATTTTCGGGAGGTAAGCTGGCCAGCGTCTGTGTATTGTCTGAGTGTTGTCTGTGTGCTGTTTGAAGTCAATCTGTGTGTCCAATTACTGTGCGCTTGCGAATCTGGTGAGTTCGGCCGTACTCGTCCGTATCTGGCGGACCCGTGGAGGAGCTGACGAGCTCGTACTCCCGACCGCAACCCCCAGGAGACGTCTTGGGGGTGTCCGGAGCCTGAAACAGTGGCTCATCCGGAGCCTGAAACAGTGGCTCATCCGAGGGCCTGAAAAAGTGGCCCATCCGGAGCCTGAAACAGTGGCTCATCCGGAGCCTGAAACAGTGGCTCATCCGGAGCCTGAAACAGTGGCTCATCCGAGGGCCTGAAAAAGTGGCCCATCTGGAACCCGGTCCTTTTGGACGCGTGGTTCATCTGGGAGACGAGAGATCCGGACTCTCAATAAAGTCTCCATCAGGTTTTGCTTTCAGTTTGTTAGCAAAAACGCGCAGCGAAGCTAAATGTTCTAAGTGTTGTCAGTATTGTTTTTGTGTTTGTTAAAATTTAAGCATGGGACAGACTGTCACAACCCCCCCTTAGCCTTACTTTACAGCACTGGAAGGACAGCCTGAGCCTAGATTGTCAGGTTTTAGGAACTTGCTTGTTTGTCAATTATGAAATTGCCACTGACCACCTGTGAGTGGCCCCAGTTAGATTTCAGCCTTGGGCCTTGGCTCAGGGGGTCTGAGCGTGGGGGAGAACCTGCCAGTCTGAGGGGACGGCCGCTAGGGATTTTTCTTTTCCCTTGCCCCAGATGACTGGGAATTCTCCTCCGCCTTGGAAGGCCCCTGGGTCAACGTCTGCAGGAAAAAAAAAAAAAAAAAAATCCTCCGGAGGTAAATAGGGGGTTTGAGCCCCCTGGTAAGTGAATGGTGGTGAAATGTCGCCCCATTCACTGAGACTTGATTTTGTCTTTGTGGCCACTTGGTTGTATTGTTAACTTTAGTGTGTGTTTGTTTTATGTTTTCTGGGGTAGGAAAGTTCTGGGTGAGTGTGACAGGCTCAATCAGTAGCCTCTGGATTCAGCTTGCTGAGTGAGAACAGCACAGAGTTCCAGTAGGGATAAACTGGGGCTCATTAGTCCCCAACTCAGCCTTCAGTTCTTGTCTAGTTCTGTTTTAGAATTGGTACCAGTTTTAAATGTGGATCCTTGGTTTTTGTGTTTATCTGTGTTTTTGTTATTTATTTAAACATCTCTGGGGGAATAAAAGTTCCAGCTGGGCTGGGTCACAGACCTGCTACGCCCACCCTCCCTGTGAGGCATGGAAGGTTACTGGGCTAGTTTGGTTCCCTTCAAGCCTCAGGCTGCATTTTCTCCTTGTGCAGGCTGCTAGCAGGGAGGGTGTAAAAGGCTGTGTGCCTGGTTTGGACTTTTTCAACTAGTCCTGACAATGTAAAAATCTGGACAGTTTAGTTTTAGGTGACCCCCTCCCCCAGCCCTCCTCCTACAGAAGGGATTCAAAAGACTAATTAGTGAATCGCCTTGCTAGATAAGCAAGCTCTGGGAAAATAAAGCCCAACAAAGGTACCTAGTTAAAAGAAATACTGTCTTAAATTTTTGTTTAAGAACTTTAAAAGGTGTACGTACGACTGATTTTGATTTTTGCGCGCTTTAAGATCTGTGTGAGTGCTTTGTGTGTGTCCGTGAACATGTTCAAAGATAAGAATTGTCAGCATGCTGTAACAATTGGGTGAGTTTAAAATTTAAAATTCAAAAGGTTATGAGGTTTGGACATTACCAAAGATTTTAAAAAATCTTCACATTGTTTTAAATGGCTTTGTAAAGATTCTTTAACTTGCAAATTAGAAAACCTGGTATTTTAAAAGACTAATGTTTTAAAATGCATGACTGTTTATACTGTAATCAAATTATCTGGCTTAACAAAAATGCATTGGCAGTTTGAGATCTAATTCCCTTGGCTAAAATTTGGAGATAAATATTAAAAATTTAAATGTAAAGGTTAGTTTAACACTGTCAAAGATGTTACCTGTTCTGTCTGTCTAAAACTGTATTTCATTCGAGAACCAAGAGAAGAGATGGAGAAAAGAAACCAACAGAAGACCTATCTTTAGGGGTAAGGGGTGAACAAGCAGAAGTGCAGTTCAGCTGGCCATGCATGGTGGGACAGGCCCTGGGAAGAGTCCACGCAGGGTGAAAGAGGGTAAGCTGGCACAAACGCAGTTCATCTAACCCTAAAGAGTCAGATTGGGTGTGCCCATTCCATAGAAGGGGCCGAACGGCCCATCTTTGTTCTCTCTTTTCTCTGCAGTCAGACACTGAAAACATGATGGTTAAAATAAGTGATGTGATGATCTGATTAGTATTGCTAAAACTGCCCCTTGAATGTGTTAACATTAAAATTAGGAAGGCCTTAAAAGGGAGCTAAAAAGTTATTTGTATAATGTAGCTTGCTTTTAATGTTTTACAATTAAGATATTTTTAAAAGTTATAGAGGTGTTAAGTCTAGCCTCGTGGTATAATGATGGTGACTGTAATTTTTACATTAAGGAAAAATTGTCATTTGAGTTTAAAAATCTTAATGTGTGTCTGCTTTAAAACAAGCAACCAAGAGGCAATGAGTGACACCTGGCCTCAAGATTTCAAGGGATCTTTTCAAAACGCAAATGAAAACTAAAGTATAAAATATTAAAGGTGATTAATAAGAGGCTTTTAAAAAAATTAATTAAAAAAATGGATTTTTGGATATAAAGTTTAAATGTAAAATTGTTCTTGACATTGGCCTCAATGTACACAAAGGGAAAAATTAAAATTACCAAAATAATTGCTATTCTAGCTTGCTCTTATAGGTTTTTTAAGTTTCCAGCAAGCCCAGAGCAAAGCACAGAGGATCCTTACAAGTTTGTCAGATGTAACTTTGACTCTTAATAAGTTTCAGGTAAGAGCATGCTTAAAAGCTACTTCTATGTTGACCACCTTGTTGCTTTTAATTGGAGTAAAGTGGCCTTTCATAAGACGCATTGATCTGCAAACTGGTTCGAAGCCAGCCCGGGCAGACAAAGGTCCCTGTGAGACTGTCACCTCTCTTCAGCCAGCAGAGTACTAGCCCTGGACTAAAGAGTCAGGGGACAGTACTCAAGCGCCAAGCTCAAGACTCATAGTGGCAGAGTACTAGCCCTGGACTGAAGAGTTAGGGGACAGCATTCAAGCCCTGAGTCTGGGACTCAAAGTGGCAGAGTGCTAGCCTTGAGCTGTAGAGCTGAGGGACAGTGCTCAGGCCCTGAGTTCGAGTCCAGCAACCAGCTAAAGGGAAATGCCAATGAGGCATTTATCCCAATGTGGAGAAGACACTCCTGGGACAAAAGCAATGGAGGAGCATCCAGAGGCAGTAAGCCACTGCTTGGATGGCAGAAATGTCAGATCTTAGTGTCATTTGTGCGTGGCCTTTCAAAACTGGTCAGAGCCGGGAGGTCATAGGAAGATAGTTTGGAAGCATGCCTAATGTTCATGACTACCTTGTAAGAGACAGGAACTTGCCAATCCTCTATGATAGTAAAAAGCTAATGTTATAAAATGTGGGGGATAGTTTAAATCTCAACCCCTTTATGTGCCAAAAAGCTTTAATTGATTGGCTGACACTAGTTACATGAAGTTCATTTGCTCAGGAAAAAGTTTGCAAACCTGAGTGTGTTTCTATTGATATCTGTCTAAAGGCCTGCAAAGGTAACTTAGGCATCTTAGGCATTGTTGAGATCACATTCCTAAGCCATCTAGGAAGATGCTTTTGCAAACCAAAGTGCTGAACAAGCTACACTGCTGTAGCCGGAGAAAAGGTCTGTGCAGTTGTCAAAAGTTAAATATTGTTCTTAGTGACATCTAACCCTGATAGCCTCTTTGTAAAATAGGCTAAAGTTATAGGTTCCTGGCTAGGTAAGATCAACGCCCCTAAAGTCAGCTTGAAGAAGTTACAGAAGATTGACTTCGCCCTTCTACCCCCATTTTTAAGATCAAGAAAAAAAAAAAAAAAAAAGACATAAAAAATAGTGTTAACTGTTGTAGGTATGCAAGGTGTGGAGACTGCATCTGTCAGAGATGGCTACAAGACAGCCTTCTGAGCCTTCTGTGTCTATTTACAAAAATATCTGGTTAGTAAAAATGTTGTGATTTTGGTAAATTGTCCTGGGCTATTGTTTAAAGATCTTAAAAACCAGCAGGATCAAAGCCTGCCAAGCCTATGCAATGTATCCTTAACCAGTCTGTGTAGGAATTTACAGCCCAGCATGAGGTGTGACAGTCCCTTGGAGCCACTGAGAGATCCTGCTGCTGCTGCTGCTGCATACCCTAATGGTTAAAGTTCAACGACTGCCTGACAGCCACCTGGAGAAACTCCTGCCTAAAGATTCCATCACCTCAGTCTGCTTCCTGGTTGACTGCTGCTAAATCTACGATCTTGTCGGACATTCTTTTGGGTGATATCCAAAAACCCTCTCTTCCCACAGTGGATATTGGGGACAAGGATATCATTGGCTTACTTGTCTTAGGCACTTCAGTGCATAGTGACTGGAAATCCACTCTATGGTCACAGCCTAGTTTGGCTCTGGTATGGTAATAACCTGAGTGTGTTATCAATGGAGGTAATACTCTTAGCCTTAAAATCTAGCAAGCTTCTACATCACAGTGGTGCCTTAAGGCTGTTCTAAGATAAAGGTTCTGCAAGCAAAAGGAAAATTGTGCAGTTTTAAACTACAGCTACAAAGATGCTCAGGGATTGTAAAGAAAGAGGGTGGTAAAGAAAGCCTTGGAAAAGGGATTATAACCTCAGAAAGTTTAAGTATGTAGCAAATGGTATGAGTATGTCTTAAAATTGGAGCTTACAAGTACAGCTGGTACAAAGGATCATGGAACAAGTCCCCATGGTTCGCTACCCTGTTATCCTCCCTAATGGGACCACTAATACTATTAATGCTAATTCTTACCTTAGGTCCCTGCATTATAAATCGCCTGATACAATTTGTAAAAGACCGACTATCGGTCGTACAGGCCCTAGTACTAACCCAACAATATCATCAGCTTAAATTAACGGAGGAAACGTCGGGTGAATGAAGGATTTCATTCAGGCAAAAGGAAATGGGGGAATGAAAGACCCCAGCCCGTGCTTGCCCACTAGGTACCCCAAGAAAATTGCTGCCCCTTACCCTGCATACCTAAGGGGGTGGTGGG